ATCTCACTGCAAACTATATAAACATGAAAAAGGAAATAGAAACTCTCAACAAAGGTCAAGAGGAAATGAAGAATACAATTTCTGAACTGAAGAACACAGTAGAAGGAATGAAAAGCAGGATCGATGAAGCAGAAGATCGGATTAGCGAGCTGGAGGACAAAGTAGAAAACAGCATCCAGAAAGAGCAAGAAAAGGAAAAGAAGCTCAGAAAGAATGAGGAGGGATTAAGAGAAATGCAAGACAATATGAAACGTAATAATATCCGTATAAAAGGGATACCAGAAGGTGAAGAAGAAGAGCAAGGGATCGAAAACTTAGTTGAACAAGTAATGAAGGAGAACTTCCCTAATTTGACGAGAGAAAAAGTCACACAAATCCAGGAAACACAGAGAGTCCCAATCAAGAGGAACCCAAAGAGACCCACCCCAAGGCACATCATAATTAAAATGACAAAATTTCAAGACAAAGAGAGAATCTTAAAGGCAGCAAGGGAGAAGAAGGAAATAACATACAAAGGGAGCCCCAATAAGGCTAACAGCTGACTTCTCAATGGAAACACTTCAAGCCAGAAGAGAATGGCAAGAAATACTTCAGGTAATGAGAACCAGAGGTCTGCAACCAAGGCTACTATATCCAGCAAGGCTCTTGATCAAGATTGAAGGCCAAATAAGAAGCTTCCCAGACAAAAGAAGTCTAAAAGAATACACCTCGACCAAACCAGCTCTGCAAGAGATTCTAAAAGGACTGCTTTAAGGAGGAGAGAAGAAAGAGAGAGAGAGAGAGAGAGAGAGAGAGAGAGAGAGAGAGAGAGAGAGGAACACACATACATAAAAGACAATGAATAAGTACCTATCAATAATAACCTTAAACGTAAATGGATTAAATGCTCCAATCAAAAGACATAGAATAGTGGATTGGATAAGAAAAAATGACCCACATATCTGCTGTCTACAAGAGACCCACCTCAGGATAAAAGACCTACACAGGCTGAAAGTGAAGGGACTGGAAACAAATCTTCCAAGCAAATGGTCAGGAAAAAAAAGCCGGGGTAGCAATACTCATATCAGACAAAATAGACTTCCAAAAAAGGTCCATAAAGAGAGACCCAGAAGGTCACTTCATAATACTCAAGGGAAGAATCCATCAAGAAGACATAAATATTGTAAATATATATGCACCCAACATAGGAGCACCGAAATACATAAAGAAAATCTTAGAGGACTTCAAGAAAGATATGGACAGCAACACAATTATAGTGGGAGATTTTAACACCCCACTATCAAAAATGGACAGATCTTCTAAACAAAATATCAACAAAGATATTGTGGCATTGAACAATACCCTTGATGAAATGGATTTTACTGATATATACCGAGCCCTCCATCCAAAAGAAGCTAAATATACATTCTTTTCAAATGTGCATGGAACATTCTCAAAGATAGACCACATGATAGGACACAAAACAAGCCTCAAGAATTTCAAGAAAATTGAAAGCATACCAAGCATTTTCTCAGACCACAAGGGACTGAAGCTGGAAACCAACCCGAAGGAAAAAAACCAAAAACGCTCAAAATCATGGAGATTAAATAGCATGCTATTAAACAATGAATGGGTCAAGAATGATATTAGGGAAGAAATCAAAAGGTTTCTGGAAACAAATGAAAACGAACTCACTACAACCCAAAACTTATGGGACACAGCCAAGGCAGTCCTGAGAGGGAAGTTCATAGCGATACAGGCCCACCTAAAAGGGTTAGAAACTTTCCAAACAAACAACCTAACCCTACGTCTACAAGAACTCGAGGAACAACAACAAAGACAGCCCAGAGCAAGCAGAAGGAAGGAAATAACCAAGATCAGAGCAGAATTAAATGATATAGAGACTAAAAGCACAATTCTAAGGATCAATGAATCCAAGAGCTGGTTCTTTGAAAAGATAAACAAAATAGACAAGCCTTTAAGCAGACTCATCAAGAAAAAAGAGAGAAGACCCAAATAAACACAATCAGAAATGAAAGAGGAGAGATTACAACAGATACCACAGAAATACAAAGGATTGTAAGGAATTACTACGAAGAACTGTATGCCAAAAAATTTGAAAACCTAGATGAAATGGACAACTTTCTAGAAAAATATAATCTTCCAAAACTCAATGAAAAAAGAAGCAGAAAGTCTGAACAGACCAATAACAACAAAAGAAATTGAAGCAGTAATCAAAAAAACTCCCAACACACAAAAGCCCGGGACCAGATGGTTTCACAGGAGAATTCTACAAAGCATTTAAGGAAGAGCTAACCCCTATCCTTCACAGACTATTCCAAAAAATCCAAAAAGATGGGAGTCTCCCAAACTCTTTTTATGAGGCCAACATCATCCTAATTCCAAAACCAAATAAAGACACAACAAAGAAAGAAAACTTCAGGCCAATATCACTGATGAACATTGACGCTAAAATCCTCAACAAAATACTGGCAAACCGCATCCAACAATACATTAAAAAGATTATACACCATGACCAAGTGGGATTCATTCCAGGGATGCAAGGATGGTTCAATATTCGCAAGTCAGTAAATGTAATACATCACATAAACAAAAGCAAAGACAAAAACCACATGATCATATCAATTGATGCAGAAAAAGCATTTGATAAGGTACAGCACCCATTCATGATAAAAACACTCGGCAAAGTGGGAATAGAGGGAGCATTCCTCAACATAATAAAGGCCATATATGAGAGACCTTCAGCCAACATCATTCTCAATGGGCAAAAATTAAAACCTTTTCCACTAAGACCAGGAACAAGACAAGGCTGTCCACTTTCACCACTTCTATTCAATATAGTACTGGAAGTTTTAGCCACAGCAATCAGACAAGAAAAAAGAAATAAAAGGCATCCAAATCGGAAAGGAGGAAACAAAACTATCACTGTTTGCAGACGACATGATAGTATACATAGAAAATCCTATTGACTCTACCAAAAAACTGCTTGACCTAATAAATGAATTTGGCAAAACAGCGGGATACAAAGTCAATATCCAGAAATCAAAGGCATTTCTGTACACCAACAATGAAACAGCAGAAGCAGAGACCAAGGAAAAAAATCCCATTTGAAATAGCAAAAAGAAAAAATAAAATATCTAGGAATAAACCTAACCAAAGAGGTAAAAGACCTGTATTCAGAAAACTACACAACACTGAAGAAAGAAATCAAGGAAGACACAAACAAATGGAAACATATACCGTGTTCATGGATTGGAAGAATTAATATCATCAAAATGTCCATACTACCCAAAGCAATTTACACATTCAATGCAATTCCTATTAAAGTACCAATGGCATATTTCACAGACATAGAACAAACACTTCAAAAATTTATATGGAATTATAAACGACCCCGAATAGCTGCTGCAATATTGAGAAAGAAGAGTAAAGTAGGAGGGATCACAATACCCGACACTAAACTATATTACAAGGCTACTGTAATCAAAACAGCCTGGTACTGGCATAGAAACAGGCACATAGACCAATGGAACAGAACAGAGAGCCCAGAAATAAGCCCAAGTCTCTATGGTCAATTAATATTTGACAAAGGAGGCAGCAACATAAAATGGAATAAAAATAGCCTCTTCAACAAATGGTTTTGGGAGAACTGGACAGCCACGTGCAAAAAAAATGAAACTTGAGCACCAACTTACACCATATACAAAAAATAAATTCAAGGTGGATAAAAAGACTTAAATATAAAACATGACACCATTAAAGTCCTAGAGGAGAACGTAGGTAAGAAAATCTCAGATATTTCACGAAGACACTTTTTTAATGACGTGTCCCCTAGAGCAAGGGACATAAAGGAAAGAATAAACAAATGGGACCTCATCAAAATTAAAAGCTTCTGCACAGCTAAAGAAAACAGTATGAAAATTAAAAAGAGAACCAACTGTATGGGAAAACATATTTGCCAATGACACCTCAGACAAGGGTCTAATCTCCAAAATATATAGAGAACTTACACGACTGTACTCTAAGAAGACAAGGAATCCAATTTAAAAAGTGGGCAAAGGACTTGAATAGACACTTCTCCAAGGAGGACATACAGAGGATCCAAAGACACATGAAACGAGGTTCAATATCGCTAGCTATCAGAGAGATGCAAATTAAAACCACAATGAGATACCACTTCACACCAGACAGAATGGCCATCATAAACAAAGCAACAAACAACAAGTGTTGGAGAGGTTGTGGAGAAAAGGGGACCCTAGTGCACTGTTGGTGGGACTGCAGACTGGTACAACCACTATGGAAAGCAATATGGAACTTCCTCAGAAAACTAAAAATGGATCTGCCTTTTGACCCTTGCAATTCCACTACTGGGACTCTATCCTAAGAATACTAAAACACCAATTCAAAAGAACCTATGCATCCCAATGTTCATAGCAGCACAATTTACAATAGCTAGATGCTGGAAGCAACCTAGATGCCCATCAGTAAATGAATGGATCAAAAAACTATGGTACATTTACACGATGGAATTCTATGCAGCAGAAAGAAAGAAGGAGCTCCTACCCTATGCAACAGCGTGGATGGAGCTGGAAAACATTATGCTAAGCTGAAACAAGCCAGGCAGTGAAAGACAAATACCATATGATCTCACCTTTAACAGGAACCTAAATAACAAAACAAAGAAACAAGCAAAATGTAACCAAAGACACTGAAATAGAGGACAGGCTGATGGTGACCGGAGGGGAGAGGGGAGGGAATTTAAGGGGACAGTGGGAAGGGTTCACAGGAACAAACTTAAAGGACACATGGTCATAGACTAAGGGGAGGGTGGTAATGGGAGGGAAGGGGGGCAGGTGGGAGGGGGAACTGGATTGGGAGTAAAAAGGAGAAAACTGTATATGAACAATGATTAATAAAAAAAAAAAGAAATACTCCACATGTATTTTCTAGCAGAAATCTGGATATATAATATGTTCTCAATACATGTTAATGGGGTCTAGAACTATTTAGTTAATTGCCAAATTTCACATGACATTCAATGATGAAACTGCTTCTTTGAATCTGATGCTGTTAGCGCTTTTGCTTTCAGCTTATATTCGTTGTTTATTTGGTTTCAAATAAACATCAATATGAATTACAAAAAAAAAAAAAAGACATCAAACTCACAGTTAGTAACAACCATACCTAAAACAAAGGCAAACTAAGCAAACAACTAGAACAGGAACAGAACCACAGAAATGCAGGGCACATGGAAGGCTAGCAGCAGGGGGGTGGGAGGAGGAGAGAGGGGGAAAAGATACAGAGAATAAGTAGCATAGACAATAGGTAGAAAATAGACAGGGGGAGGGCAAGAATAGTATGGGAAATGTAGAAGCTAAAGAACTTATGACACATAGACATGAACTAAAGGGGCGAATGTGGGTGGGAGGGGGTGGGCAGGGTGGAGGGGAGTGAAGGGGGAAAATGGGACAACTGTAATAGCATAATCAATAAAATATATTTTAAAAAAGAATAGTTTTTTTAGCAGCCAGTTGAATTATTGAAGATTTTAGTTTAGGATTTAGCTAGATGCCTGATACAGTATTGTAAGTTCCATTTTCTTTCTCCCCCACCACATTTTGTTATTGTTGTTCAAGTACAGTTGTCTCCATTCCCCCTGCCTCCCACCAATCCCCCCTACCCCAGCTATCCCCACTTCCCGCCCTTGATCTTACCTCCCTTTGGTTTTGTCCACGTGACCTTTATACTTGACCCTGAAAACCCTCCCCCCTTTTCCTCTCATCCCCTCCTCCCCTCCCACCGCCCCTCTGGTTACTGTCAGTTTGTTCTTAATTTCAATGCCTTTGGTTATATTTTGCTTGTTTGTTTTGTTGATTAGGTTCCACACATAGGTGAGGTCATATGGTGTTTGTCTTTCCAGCTAAAATTTTCTAAAGCTCAGGGAGATCCTAAGAGTCTTGTAGGTCTTTACACCCATTATAATTGGCCATTGTCTTCCAGCCATTTAAGATTCCATTTGTATTAACAGGGATACCAGGCCTTACTGAGTAAGGTGCATGCATTAATTAATAAATCAAGTGTAATTGGCAAAAGGTAGTCAGACTTCTGAGCCTTGTTAGTCTATATCTTCTTGATCCAAAAGGATACACAAGCAATTTATGGAATAGCAGAAAAAGAGTTCAAATCATTCCTAATTAAAAGGACATAGTGCTTGATAGATCATTTCTATTCTTTGCATCACCATAGTTTTAGTAGGAGTAGCTGATTTCAAGCAGGGGGAAAGACAATAGACTTTGAATCTGAATACTACAAAAAGGATCAGCAAACCTACCAATACCATAAAACTCTAACAGAAATCAAAACAATGTTCTTAATCCTGAAAGTAGCCAGCTAAACAAGTCATGTAGTGGGTCATCCTTTCTTTTTTCAGGTGTCATTTAGCTTGTTGAGTGGCCTTTTCTAATTAAGTCTCTATTCCCCCTGAGGTGTTTATGTAAGTGGAATAGGTGACATGAGCAACAGCACAAACTCCACCTTGTTTGGCCAGCAAGAAGTCAAGGGCTATGTGATTGTCAAGGACAACCCAAGCAAGAGAATTTAGAGACTTTTGTTGTTCAGCAACAGTCTTAGCCATCTTTTTAGCAATTTTCCAATGGCGGCAGGTAAATTTTTAATCATATCCCTACTGATATATATTCTGGCTCTTGGGATTAGCATGCCAAGTATACTTTATCCAAAGCTGTCATGATAACCAACCAGCATTTCCTTTTAAGGCCTTATGATCTGTTTTTCCTTCTGTTGAAACAGCTCTTTGTTAAAATAATTTGTCCTATGGAATACTGGGGATCCTTATGAATAGATAAAGGAGTGATGAATTGCCCCCCCCCCAAATAGAGTCCTTCCATTTGCCAACTGTTTAAACATCAATGTACCCATCCTTTAGTAGAAGGATCTTCTCCAATGCCATGAATAAAAGTAAACTTGGGTGGAGCACGAACTACCTCCCCAACTTGAGTGTCTTTGTCTATGGACCATTCAGTTATTATTGAGAGAATCCCTTTCAATAAAGGTGAAACCATTTATTATACATGTTTTCTAAAATCCATTGAGTTGATATTGGTTGGAAGGAATGAGTTTACATAATTTGGTTATATTTTTCTTTTCAATTTTGTCATGTAGACATTTAAAGATCAAGTAAGAAAGGAATCAGGGAGAGAGCCGAGTTAAATTCAAGTTTGGAGATGACAGGGGATAGTGAAAAGCAAGGGACGGATGTTCCTCATTCTTGAATAGATTCTACCTGAAAGGTGAAGTTGGACATGGGTTGGGAAGACAGTGGCATTGCACATAGTTCCAAAGTTGGTAACAGGTGTAACTAATGGTAAGGATTGGTTTCTTACTGACTTAAGAATTTGATGACATATCCAACAATCACTCTGATTTCCTTTCTTAAAGTTTTACCTAAAACCTTTTTAGGCATTAGAGTAATGAAAAAGAGACAAGGAAAAGGGAGCCAGTTGGGTTTGTTACCATCTTTGCCAACCTTCCTGTAGCATAAATCAAGATCAGCAAGGGATGAGGCAAGAACTTGAAGTTAGTCTCTGTAAAGGCTAGGGTGACGCAGACCTGGTCCAGTTTCTTGGGTACAGGTCTTCAGTTGGTGGCTTCTCCTTGTCAAGGAGTTTTTGACATTCAGTATAGGTGGAAATAAGTGTCACAGACAGGGCAGATGTCCATAACATTCCATGAACTACACCGAAGGCATTGCGACTATCAGTATAGATATCGGCTGTTTTTAGAAAAATTTGTCAAATTTAAAAGGACAAGAACCATATGATTTCACTCATATGTGGGATATGAACAGAAAGCAACAAATGAAGAAATAAACTCATAGACACAGACAACAGTATGAAGGTTATCAGAGGGGAAAGGGAGTGGGGGAAGGATGAAGAGGGTGAAAAGGTCAAATATATGGTGATGTAAAGAGACTAGACTTTGGGTGGTGACTCACATATGCATTACAGAATTGTACACTTGAAACTTATATAATATTATTGACTCATAGCACTGCAATAATTTAATTTTTTTAAAGGCCAAGCAAAAAAAATATATAGTGGCTATTTGATCTTTGACCAACCAACAAGTTTGGCTTAGAGCCATTAATTCAGTTTCTGGAGCAGATCTTATTTCAGGTAGATGTGGACTTTCAGTTATGTCCACCAGGGAAGTTGCTGCATATCCAGCTTGGTAATGCCCCTGTTCGTCTTTTAGATAAGATCCATCTGCACCTAAGTTAAGTCAGCATTATCAATAGGAGTTCCCTGTAAATCATTCCTAAAAGTATAATTTGAGGTTTCTTCCTTCTGTAAAGAAAGTAGTAAAGTTGCTGGGTTACGACTGTTACATTGAGAAAAGTCATATTAGATGAGGAAAGCAGTACTTCATAGGAAGCCAGTCCGATGACAGGGAAGCCATGAGTGTGATAGGAGTTCAGTAAAGGTTCAACACAGTGAGGAGAATGAACGGTTTGAGGACAGCCCGGAACGTGGCTGAGCAGCAACAGGCCGCATACAAGGAGGGAGCTCCAATTCCTTTAGGTCTATCATGATCTCCATGTTTCTGAGTTAAAACTCCTAAAGCATGTCCTTTATTTTTGTGTATAAAAAGGAAGAAAGGATGTTTATGCGTTGAGTCTCCCAAAGTAGGAGCTTTAGATAATTCTTCTTTAGAGCTTCTATATCTCATTTCCCTTGGTGAGTCCATTGGATTGGATCAGGCTGATCTGATTTTAATAATCCAGATAGAGGTTGAGGTACTAATGAAAAATTTGAGACCCAGTTTCAACAGCATCCAGTGAGCTCTAGAAATCCCCTAAGGTATTTCTTAGGTATTGGAAGAGGAGAGGCTAGAATTCTTATGAGTCTTTTAGAGTTAATTAGTAGCTAATTAGAAGGTGGCAAAGGTATTTTACTTGGGGTAAACAAAAAGAAAGTCTTATCTTTCAAGACATTATGTCCCTTTTTGGCTAGATGTTATAATGAAGAAATTGTGTCCTCTTGAAAGTCTAATGATATCCTGGAGTGTAAAAGTAAATCATCCCCATACTGAATCAGAGTGGAATCTCTAGGAAATTCAGTATCATTTAAATCAACCTTTAGTTTTTGAGAGATATATGTGGGACTCTCTGTACATCCCTGGGACGTTACTGTCCCAGTGAACTGAGAACCTTTCCAAGTGAAGGCAAAAAGATGTTGCCTGTCCTTTGCTACCAAAATGCTGAAAAGGCACTACCTAAACCTGTTCCTGAAAAATACTGTAATCCCCAGGAAAGGTAGATAATAGTGTATGTGGATTTGGGACCACAGGATGTCTGGAAATAACAATTTCATTGTAGCTCTAAGATCTTGTACAAATTCTTAGCCTTTCTCATTGGATTTCTTTACTGGAAGGAGTATTAGAGGAACTTGTGCATGAGTTATAAGCTCTCTATTTGAGTATTCTTTTATAAATTTTTATAATGGGCTTAATTATGGCCAGTGCATTGGGTCTCAAAGAGTATTGACAAATACCAGTGGAGGCAAAGTATTGTCAATAGTTATTTTGACATGAGTAGCTAACTTAAATGTTCAGCTTCAAAATTAGTTTCCTCTTTTTGAGCCTTCTTTAAAATCATTATTTTCTCAATTGATTCGATGCCTGATTTCATTTACTTCTAAATACATTGCACCCCCCTTTTTTTTCACTGACCAGGAATTGAACCTACAACCTCTTGGTGTATGAGATGACACTCCAACCAACTGACACAGCTGGTCAGGACTACATTTACCTTTTTGAGAAAAGGCTATGTGGGTGTCATGATTTGTAAGAAAGCCCTGTCCTATCAGGTGAAATGGAGCAGATTTGACTAGTAAAACTATGTGTTGCCCCTATCATCCCTGAGCTGAAAGGCAACAGGTTCTGAATTAAAAACAGGCACTAATTGGTTAGCTATCCCTACAACTTGTCTAGA